CAAATATACTTTGAAATCAAGTCAATAGCTGTAAAACCCCTAGTTGAGATAAAACTGTGCCGTATCAAGACAATTATTTCGTATCACATGACTCAAAGTCATTTCACGCTTTATGGCCTTATGAATCATACGTCACTACCGACCAGTGAATACACATAGTATTTACCCTTTGCCATAGCACTTATTTTCAAGATATCTTATGCAAGACTTCAGTTTCAGTTTCATTAATTTATTAACAAAACTGCAAACTTATATTGGTCTTGGTGACTAGCAGATGAATCCAGGAAGCGCGTTTTGTCCTACCTGGGACTCCTCATCAACTGGACATACCTGCACCTCAGTGAGTGTTGTTCCCAACGAGGCTCGAACCCGGCACCTTCGCTTCAAACCCCAGAGAGTTATCTTGTAAACCACTGAGATATGACAGCCACCACTAGTGCAACGGGTATCAGTTGTTGTTATGACACTTGTAATATCCCGTTGCTATACAGGGTCGAATTGCCCGACCTCTGTTGGCAGATATCGGTATCATAACAAAATCGTAAACTTGTTTGCCGAAAGCTGTAATCTTTCTGAAATTCATGAGGCTCTTGAAGTTAGCACTTACTACAACTTTATGCTCTCAATAAAGTTCACCAAACCAATAAAGATGCATCATAGTACATAATTTACCCCCATGATTAACACATAGGTTTAAAACTGGTCAGACAATTGTTTGCTTTTTGACTAAGGTCATCAGCAATACAGTCATCTTTAGGTCAAAAACGTAGATACAATGAATGTTGAAAAAGTGTAAGAAAACAAGGATGATTTGATGAAAATATGATTCATCCAGGCGTATGATGTCATCCTTATCTGTATGAAAATGCATGTTAAGAAGGGAGGGTAAGAAAGCAGAATGAAGTTGACGTTTAAATTCACACATACTACACATTTGACCCAGTGTAAGTTATTGTAACCTTGATTTCAACTTATGAAGGTCAGGGTTACAAACAATTCATGTCGGTGTAAAACACATAGACAAACAAAGCATAACAAGAAGAAAAAATTACCTCTAGATGAAAATGAATCAGGTCAGTCTACTAAGTAGGAGGAACACACTCAGTTGTGAATTAATAATTGGAAAATGCAAATATCCACATAAAAGCGAATAATTCTTGCATATGAGCGTAGACACGATGACTAACTTGTGGTGTATATATTAGCATATGTAACAACAAAATGGTGAATGCATTATCACTCAAAGGGAAAACTAAGTGGTGCAGAAAGGTTCAAATGCACACACACACACACACACACACTCATGAAAGGAGAAAATAATTGAATTTGATTTTAGGATTTTAATTGAAATGTAGATAGACGCTATCATAAACCTATGGCAATCAAAGAGTCATTGATAAATTAAATCATCAGGTGACTGCTTGAATAATAATGAGCAGTAATAAGATTTCTCCATGGATATATATCCAACACTAACCTTAACTATTTGCATATAAGATGAAGAAGACTTTGTCCTATTAGAGAGATTATTGCTCAGTAATTCAAACCTAATTTATTTACCAGGAGGTAGTGGTGTTCACGAGCTCGATCCGTATGTAGGTTGCAGATAAAACGAACTGATAAAAATAAATGAAGCAGCTATATAAGTGATCTCTAGCACTATCGTTAGATGTGTATTCAAGTCAATGCGGGTCAGTAGACGAATGCATAACTCATAATACGCAAAAAGCGGTTGAAGAAGACCAAAAAAGTTCTAAGATATAACCATGCAAAGTAACCACTAAAAAATACAGTCATAAAGCAAAAAATATGATAGGATTTTTTATCAGTGGAAAAGTTATCAGGATAAACATTCTGATAGTAATGTAAGATAAAGCAATTAAGATAATCTAAATACGCTGGAATAAATGACAATCAGTCAATAACAACATGAGACTTGTTATCACTGAGTAACAATTCAAGTTGACATATCTAAATCAGCACATCTACGTAAAAGGTATTATGATGAAGAATAGATAAATTAAGGAAGAAAGTCGTCAAAAGTAGTACAAAGTCGTAAGAAGAGGGGAAGGAAGGAAAAAAACATAACAAAATTCGATATGACGATCAAAATGAAGTTAATATGAGAAATCAGTAGTGTCACTGAGATAGATTCTGAGCAATATCATTGATTTGTCGAACTGGAAACATCCTAGTATCATTATGGACATTGGTGATAACATCAATCAAAGTGAGACAGTCCAATTCAAGTATTAAATGCTAAGGTACAGAGTGCGCTGCCCCACTGGATCCCAAGCTGATAGTCACCTGTGTGTTATTCGACTGAACGACACAGTGAGAACTAAAATGAACAGTGAAACTCATTGTAGTCTCTTTGAAATCTCCTCTGATTACGCACTCGCTGACTGGAGCTTCAAAGAAGTGAAGGATGAGTTCTACCGAAAACTGCCAAGCTGTCAACTGAAAGTCAAACGTTTAAACGTAGCTTTCGTTGCGGGTGGTTTCATTGCAAAAGAGGTAGGTCAAGTCAGACAGAAAGACACTTAGATGACACTTTAGGAATTCCACCCGAACAAACAGGAAACGGCGATCGCCGGCTACGACTGTGATCAAACGACTATTTATTTCTGACCAGCACGAACTTCAGACATCAAAAGACACCATCTGACATGACATTCATCAGTCTCAACTCTTTGACGGATATGTATAGACCATACTGTTATCAGTTATTGCTGGAGAGGGTCCGTGGAAAACTGCCAATGCACCTGAAGCATGCCTTTGGACAGCAATCCTGCGTTGGTTCGAGAGGGTATAACACTGAGTCTAAATCGAAATCAAAAAACTATAGCAACCCGATGATTTTGAGTGAGGCTCGAGAATGAGAGTACTAAGCCTGCTTCGAGTGAAAAAAACTGGCTAGACGGTTATCAGAACAGGACAACATTTATCCCAAAGAACCTCGAAGTCATCTCCAGTTTGTTTTGAAAACAGCTTTGAAGACTGTAGTCGATTGCCAAAGAACCTCAGTGGCTTCTTCTGAATGACAGTGTTCTGTTACAGAGCTGAAGATGCATTTTCGTGCTCATGTCAGCTAAGTTGGGTGATGTTCGCAAGAACACAAATGCATCTTCAGCTCTGTAACAGAACACTTGATAAACTTTGGACACATGGCTCCTTTTGATAAGCTCTTCTAAATTAATGAATGCACGTGAATACGTCCCTGCAGTCTCAAGGCCCAATCAGGAGTGGAAAGAACTGAAACCTAGAATGACAAATAGTCTACGCAGTGACCACAAACGGCAGTCAGCAGTGAAGGCTAAAATGACGGAAAAGGCAGCAGGGATAGGAAGCAGTATATGGTTATTTAAACTTATCAAGGAAAATGGGACGAAAACGTCAACAGTTAGCGTATGAGGATGGGTTTATGATTCACTTGCAGGGGAAATGACTGGAAGGATGGGTGGAACACTTTGAGGAACAGTTTAGCTGGCTTCCAGATACTAATCTGTTGTCAGTTATCCAGTGGGATCCTGAATGGGACATCGAGGTAGGACTCCAGAAGTAGAGAAAGTTGTAGGTAACACGAAAAGAGGAAGAGTAGCAGGACCAAGTGGATTAGTATCAGAAGAATTTAAGGATGGTGGTCGAGGATTTCTAGTCAAATTAAATGAACTGTTGAGAGTAAAATGTGATCATCTTCCGACTGATCTCAATCATTGATTGTTCCAGTCTTCAAGAATGTGAGAAGTCCACTTGTGATAACCACAGGGGAATCAGTCTGACGAAAACAGTCTTTAAGAATTTAGGTTCCACATTAATTAGATGTCTAAATGGAGCTAGGGAACACTAAACCCGAGAAAAGTAGGCGAGCTTCAGAAGTAACCGTAGGTGTTTCGACCAGATATTCACACTCTGCTAGGTTTTGGAATACAGACACACTTATCGATGCTTGAAAGTGGCTGGATTTCTCGAACTGAAGGCGATTTTTGTGTCTGTTAAACGAGAGGTCATATGACAGCATCTCTCATTGATAGTGGTCATGAAAAGGCTGCAGGTGTTTGACCAACATTGCCTTCGTAGCATAGGCCATGTCACCACATGGATAAGACATAAGTCAGGTGTGGAGTTGTAGGGGGAAGAGGTAAGTCAGCTGATGCGGTTGTGAACCTTCATCAACTGAGATGACTGGGACATATGTTACGCATGCCTAGTCACCATCTACCTCATCGCACAATGTTAGCTGAAGTATAATCAGACTAGAAAAAGGTTTGCGGCTGCAAGACTCTATGAAGTCCTTGACTGTTCGAGCCATGTAGGGTGATGCAGACTAGGCGGTTGGGGTCTACGTGACAAAAAACAGTGGTTGAAGACTGGGCGATATGTCTCAGAATCGATGTCAATGGTGAAGATGTACCCATATATTATCTTCATCTTAATCGCTATACTTAGTCTCATCATTTTCTCATTCCTTCTTCCTCTCTTTTACTACTTTCTACTTCTTTTAATCGACTTTCCCTTCTTTCTTAATCTTCCATTTCACCGCCTTGTCATTTGGTGCGTTGACATGAGGTGTGGGAACTTGAACCGTTATTCAGTAGTGCCTGGTCCCATGTTGGTGTCCATGATGGCCTGTCGCAGGATTAGATTAAATACACTCAAGGGTAACCGACTTCATGTTGTTCATTTCCGAGTGCTGACCGAATTCTATCGATTATTTTTCAATTTGATCACCAAGTTACGACACTTAGCACCGTAGTGCACTGTGATTGATGCTAGCTGGTGGAAGACAATCGGTAGGACAGCTAAAGCAGGCAAAAATTTACTAGTTTTCATGAACTTTACCATTGGGCAAATGACATATATTATTTCTAGATTTCTGATTTGGAAGCAGAGTAATCAGAAACAAACTTTGGCACAAAATACTGAAATCGGACTAAAGTGGAGATCCAATAAATAATAGGTGCTAGGCACGACAAAGTTTTGTACATGTGAAAGCATACCTTGTTGTCGCCTCCAGATACTGCCAAAATATTCCCAGTTACAGACCATGAAACATTCCACACAACGTCTGAATACGTGTATAGGACAGTCGGACGCCAATATGGCTTAGATGAATAGTCTTTCGACTCTATACCACTAGAATTCGGATTATTTGTCACTGAAGTGTTTAAACGATTTTCAGTCTCATTGCTTGACTGCCAAATTATCAATCGTCCATCTTGACCACATGAAGCTATTAGTTGGCGTGAAATATTGAGACTTGGACACCAGGCAACATCACGTACCCAATCAGTATGACCATCTAAACGGGCTTCTTCAATCCATTCGGGACTTCCAGAAGTAATATCTTCCCTGCAAAAGAAGTCAAATAGTAACAGGTCAGTAATATCGCCGTAGAAAAAGGGACTTTATAATGCCGAATAGCTGGAACTGTAAAATCAATTACAATGAGACTATACCAAATCACAGAGTCCTGAGTAAAAAAAAAATACTCAAATCCCTTATGCATGCACATACAATACTTCCAGTCTACAAACTCTTCCTTGTTAGACGGACCATGGATGTTTATAATAATAATAATAATAATAATAATAATAATAATATAATAATAATAATAATAATAATCACTTTATTCCAGATAATAATTTTCAGTACAGTTTGGAATTCTCAGTGTAACATTTCAAAAAAATTACAACTAGTTCAGATCAAATAAACATGGTAGTTAAATAATGTTATTAATAACAGTATGATAGGCAGTAATGCATAAGGACCAGTACTTTTTGGGTCATCATCTAGTTTATTTATTGTTTCACGTGGGTTGGGCAGAAAAGCACATGTAAATTTGGTGGTGGGGTATCATTCATCCAGTATGAAAATTTGCTGTTCCAGTCACGTGTTCCCGTAATAGCTGTATGATTCAGTGTGGTGCGCTCAGGGATCAACTGCCATCTACTGTTACACATTTTCTTGTAGTTTTGTTGTCACCATGTCTAACAATAAGTTGAAGACATTTTAAAAGTTCGCGAGAGTATGTTTTACGATTTATTGACATTTGAATAGTTAAAACAAGTAAAAAGGAGCATTTTGATGAAATACCTTTCGGTAGGCAGCCGTCTTAACTGTTTTCAGTGTTAAGTAAATAAAATCCACGCACAGTAATATGCATGGACTTTATTATTTCATCGCTCCTTTTCAAATACTTACAACCCACAATATCCAAAACAACAAAGCACAATAAATATTAGAATACTTTAGCTCAGTGAGACCAGTCAAAGCAGGACATGAAGAGCTAAAGAAACCATGTGAACTGAACTAAAAGGGGAATATCAAGCAATGGCATCCTTCAAATATATGTTATTACAATGAAACCTTTCGTAAAAATCAGAGGAGAGCAGAAGATGAATTATTTGGAACTTAGGAAATCTAATGAAGGGATAGAAATGTAGACAAATGTAACCAGATATTTACAGTCTCATGTATTTATTATAATTGCACAACTAACAGGTACCGAGAATTTATAGTTAGAAGGATTAGTTACGATTGTAATTTTTCATTGTATTCCTAAAATTACATGACTGAATACTCCTTAGTTTGACACAGAGCAATGGATACACAAGATCCAACTAATTAAACCTGATTAAAAATAAATGAAATCAGTTACAACACCTTTATATTCTTGGGTTTATGCAGTTTCATAATTTTTAAGACTTCCTCCACCCATGATATACACTTTATTACATTGGGAGCCTAAAATTTGTTTGGAAACGCTACGAAACTGGAAATCGGTTTCATATTCCTCTTCTAACGGTGGGCTCCTGAGTTAGGACTTCAATTTATTCACCTTGTTTCCACAGTTCATTAGTATCAAGTGACTTTATTTGATAGATATAGCAAATAGTTTAGTTTCATTCCATCTGGGATCCCAGATATGATTATTCATAAATTCCAGAGCCAGAAACCATGGTAATTCAGTGAGAAGAAATATAACAACTATGTAGACCAGATATGAGGAGTTTTAGAGTAGGGAAATTTTCCGGTTCACATAATCAAAGTTTAAAAACTAACAAAACAACCAACTAAGCGAATACAATATGAAAATTTAATCAGCAGATGTAGAATGAGTAAGTTCACGGGAAAATATACACGTGATGGTGTCTACTGGCGAAATATTTATCTCACGTAAAAGATGACCAGCTGAAAATCTCCTTCATCATAGCAAATACCTAGCTGAATTTCAGCGTGAAGGCATAAACACCTATGGATATAATTAGTTCTTTTCTGCTGTGCTCAATCCTACTCAAGTGACAGTGTAGAACACTAAATTACCTGATATAAGAGTACATCAGTCGATCTGGAATGTTATCTTATGAGGGAGCATAGTAAGCGAAAATCAACAAAGAAAACGTAACAGCCAGCTGGAAATATACGAAGAGATGAATGATTGATGCATTAAGGTGTTCAGAAGTGAATAGAGTTATGATAACGTCACTTTCAGTTAGTACACTCAATACTTGCAGTCCCCCCCCCCGCGTCACCCCCTGAAACAGCTGAGACCAACGATTACAAACACTATGGTCAATTATCATCCCTTATTGAAATCACTCTAGACTTATCTTGCTTTAGTCTAACTATAAACAACAGTATATGCAATGAAAGACCGTTATACTTGCTATTCATATCAATGTATAAAGACCTAACTGACTCACTTGCTATATGATTTCATCCTCTGTAAGCATGCTTTGTAGGTATATTAGAGATAAAAAAACTTGCATCCTTCTTTAATTATCTATTGTTCATTTGGCGGCCTGCTTAAACCTTGAGTTACCAAAATTTTGCACCGTTCATATACGTCGAATTCTTTGCCTTCAATTTGTTTTAGTTATTTAACTATACCTTCTAAACGTGACATGTACTCTTGCACAGTATTAAAATGTTTTTAGCTAGCCGTTTTTCGAGTAGATAACAAAGTGGAGAAAAAACGTCAAGTTCAGTGGGAATGGACTTTTTGTTGTGTAAAAATTCATCATATTTCCACTCCTTGGAAGCTTAGCTCGAATGGCTGAATTAGTTATCATCACCAAAATTATGCTTGATTTTCTGTATATCCTGCATTCTAGGTCAGAAGCTAATCCAACAGTAACTGACTATTCAACATTATTACCTTTAATAGTGCTATTATTAACATCACTTGGATGCAGTAATAATTTCGTTTGAATATATTTTTTTGGTAGTGAACTTACTGAAAATTTCATACTGTATAAATCATACTGTTTAGAATAAAGCGATTATTATTATGTTTAATAACCGTGTTTTGTGGGTATGCAGTAAAATAGAATGCATTGCTTTGATACACAATAATGTAGTAATAAGCAGGTGAAACTGGCCATAAAAGAAGTATATTAGTGACCATTGACTACAAGTCACAAATTATTTCAGAGAAAATTCACTGACTGATAACCCCAGTGAGGTCATCTGAAAGTATAGGATAATCAAGTAGGAAATGTTACTAATACTAACGCACTAATTATAGTAATAACATTGCTACATCAACATACAGACTAACAATTTCATTTAAGTGCAAATCATTTAATTTATTCTAAACAGTAATCCAGAAAAACTAAAATAGAAAACTTAAACACGAGATTATATATCCAACTCTAATTGTAAACACTAATTAGGTATACCGGACAAGAATAAAAACAACTGTACAAATCTGTTGATAAACACAAAATATCACACAAAAATTGTCAAGTTTTTCAAATTTCCATCACATTTTCGTTCATAATGAATTCAGTATGCTTAATAAATAGATATAACGAAACTAGAATCTAGCAAGTATTGGATTACCATTCTTCAGGACTGATTCTAAAGTATCCATTCAACATTATCTTTCTTTTTATCTCTCTCACTCTCTTTAAAAAGTAGACCGATTAAAATAGACTTTAAGATACATACAGTGAAATGCTTCCCAGTAGAATACATCACTTTATAACAGTAATAATAATAATAATATTTTGAGGCTAATGGGAGTTTTCAATACGGACTGATATGAGTTGGAGAACCATTGAAAACTTAGGAACACTGGACAGCCGTTTCGTCCTAGTATGGAATTCCTCAGTAGTACGCATCGACGACTCGGCTATGGATCCAACTCAGGACCTTCAGGTTTCCCAGAGAACGCATTAACCATTCAGCCACAAAAGGTTCGGAGTTTAATGGTCCACAGTTTCCTACATCCGTTATCTCGCTATACAGCGCTGCAGAGTCCTATACTACGACGAAACAACTGTTCAATGTTCCCAGATTTTTAACGGTTCACTAGCTGATGTCATTCTATCAGAAATCTCAAAATACATTACCATATAGTGCTCATTAGTGACATGCTTCTAAATGGATATCCCGAAGTTCTAATGAGGAGTCGTGACTTGTGGGGTCAATCAGTCGGAAGTGATGTGGATGCCAAATGAAGACCTTGATGGATAGTCACGCTATATTGCGAATTGACAAAATTGGGAAACTGTGTACCACTAAACCTCAATGCAATGGCGGATCGGATAAAGCGTTCGCTGCGAATTCAACCCATGGTGGGGTCGTGAGTGTGTACTGGTGAGATCCATACTAGAAAGAAACAACTGTTCAGTGCTCATATGTTTTCCGTGGTTCTTCAACTCATATCAGTTCGTGATAAACAACACCTTAGTAATAATAGTAATCACTCAATTCGAGTGACAATTACACTAAGTACTTTTTGAAAAATGAGAAGAACTCTTAATACCCTAGTTGATGTTTTGTTGAATTTTAGTGTTACTTCCTTGGTATATATATATATATATATATATATATATATATATATATATATATATATATATAATATAGATCCTCTACGAGTCACATTCAAAACGCTTCTGATCTGCAGTTTAGCATTAAAATACATCAGTAAACTGTAGAATGACCGTCATTAGGTTAAATTCTGTATCATATGCGATAGAGTTTCCAGTCAGCATCCTACAATCTCTAAACATGCGCCTTAGATAGTTGTGATACACAGACAGACGCTAGCTCAACACAATTATCCTTCATTCTCTGATGCTACGACATATATTGAGCATCTCCAATTTCTTTCCAAGAATCTTAGTACAAACTAACAAGAAAAATATGAAGATCCCTGGGAAGATATTCTTAAAAACATGTGCATGCCAGCAAAGTTAGAGTTTGAAGATAAAATCATATATTGAATGGCAATTTAAATGTTGGTCAAATATGAAGCTGGACTTCAGAATTGTTTACATGAACCTTCAATCAGATCTGAAGGATACTGTCGAGGAAACAGTGACCAGACACAGAAAATTATT